ACCGGTAGTGAAACCCAACAGGGAATGGATCGGGACCGCTGTAATCCCATATAAACCAGGGATATCGGAGGCAATTCGAAGAATTTTGAACACAGCTAACATAAGAGTAGCTTTCCAAAGGGGGAACACTCTGCGCTCTGCACTGGTGCAAATAAAGGATCGCCTCCCGGCAAACAGGACTAGGGACTGTGTCTACAAAATAAAGTGTAACGACTGCGCCGTCTATATAGGACAGACAGCCAGGGAACTGCACATCAGAGTCAGAGAGCATAGTAGAAAAATAAACAGGCCGCCGAGAAACGCAGATGAATATCAAGTGTTACTGAAAGACTCGGCGATTGCCGAACACACACTCTAGACGGGACACAAAATAGACGTAGAAAATGATGAGGTTTCGAGGCGAGGACTATGGTCCACGTCACACAAACTGATCACCGAGGCGGTAGAAATCGCCAAGCATCACAGCGTTAACAGAATGGAAGGCGTGTAACTGGCTAGCATGTGAAGAACGGTCTTGGGTTGCTCGAGCTGACACGTGTTGGTGTGCGGTTATCAGAAGTAAGAGTGGTCATCATCTGAAATCCACTTGACCTCAACCCCCCTCAAACTAAATTGTCGGAGTACTCACAACCCCACAAAGACCGGGAAAAATCTAACACCGGCACCCGAGGTGAATCATCAAGTGAAGCACCCTGAATTGGAAGATTAAGGAACGAAAAGCGATTGGGACTAAGTCGGAACCTCTCCAACCCATCAATTCAAGATTTTGGCACCCACATTAACCGACAAGAGCCGTTAATTGACACTCAACACTGATCTAGTTTGAAGAGGACTTACTGATTGGTTCCCCGTCTGTCTTATAACCTGGCTAGTGTGAAGAGGACTTACTGATTGGTTCTCCGTCTGTCTTATAACCTGGCCAATTTGGTGACCTGTTCACTTGGCCTGATGAAGCTTTTGTGTCAAATGCGAAACGCTGCCTAAATAAAACTACCGATGGTTTACCAAGCTCTTCTGAAACGGTGACTTCTCAATCGGTTCCAAACTTTTTCCAATTGATTCAAAACTCTGGAGGGTCTTCAAAACCCCAGTGTCAAATAGCCTCTAATGAAAATCTATTCGATCTGAAATATACAAATAACACCGTTCTGGCCTTCAAAGCGAAGGAAACGCAGGTGATTTTGGATGGACTGACTAAAGTCATCCCGTTTTGTTTACACCTAGAAAGTGTAGGGTCACGCCGTGGATATGCAGTCACTGGACACGCCACTCACAATCCAGGGAGAGACCCTTGAGTTTGTGAAGCTCTTCAGCTATTACGCAAATTGTATTGGCTCCGATTTCAACAGGCCAGTTGAGGCCAATGCGAGAATTTGAAAGGCTCGTGACGCGCCTGCTAATTTGAGACACGTATGACGTCTGAAACTCAAGGAGCGTGTGTATCAGGCTACAATGTGGGCTGCATTGTTGTATGGCTGTGATACTTGGCTTCTTTGAGCGGCAAAACTAAGATCTCTCCAGGTGTTCGACAATCACTGTCTCAGGGCCATGCCTCGTGTAAGGTTGGTGTCAGCAAATCCATCACAGGTCAGTTAGAGAGCGAACGTTCGATTGTGCAATGGATACTTCAATGGAAGAGTGCGTCTAGCGCCGGAAGCTGCGATGGTTAGGCCATGTATTGCTCATGCCGAGCTATCGTTTACTGAGGACAGTGCTATTTTTCGTATGCAATTCAGATCGGCAGAAGCAGATAGATGGTCAACCCTTGACCCGGCAGAGGGGTATGCAAGAGATTGTGTACATCTGGATTCTGTTGGTGCTAAACGTCTTACAGGATGAGTCCGCAAGATTCCCACCCCGTCTGGTGGGGGACGCTACATGGCTTGTTTGCTAATCGATCTCCGTGATGCTCTTGTTGTTAGCTTTCATCCAGATTGCCTGAATAAGTGTCTAGAGGTATAGGCGCTCAAGAATGTATGTGGTGCACTAGCACTCAGTCTCTTGCGCGTCCACTTTAATTCTTCTCTTGAAGCTTCAGATAAATCCTGTTTATGGAACCAAACTCCACTTTCAGAGTACACCGATCAACTTGTGGTACTTCTGTGGCGTGGTAAAATTCATCGTTCTACCAAGCACATGTGACTTTGCGCATCGCTTCATTAAAGCAAACTTCAGAGTGAGATGCGCAGGGTCGTTAATAACATGCTGTCTCACACATCCCAAACCCCCCGAAAAGCTTGCAAATTTAGAGTCCAGTCCGTGCGTAGGTCACGTGTACATGCTCAACTTATGGTTTTACAGCACATCATCAGTGATGGAAGCGCATAGTAGCTTGGGTTAGAAAGATCGATTGAAGCACGGTCCTCGAGGATAGGAATTTAGGCCTACACACTGACTGGCACCACGAGTCATTACTTATCAAGAAAGTGATGTAAGATACCTGTACCTGATTCACACTTCACTCCAAGATTCAAACTGTGCTCACATGAAACAGAGTGCTCCAGTACCGTTGTTGGCACGTCTTTCCTGAAGAATTTGATTGGATATCTGAAGCTGCTGTTGCGTCACGTTAATCTGTCAACTCAACATGTCACGCTGAGTCCACCGGTGCTTAACTATTGTTTCTGACTACCGGACAGAATCTTAAAGCCGTTAGCCTGTCATTTGACTTTTTGTTTGATCAGCAAGAAAGTTGGCAACATGCAGAATGTGCCCATTTTAGCAGGAGATGAAGATGAATCTTGATTAAATTCGTCATGACTGATATTCTTCAGCAACCTTATGAGTAGTATGTACCGTCTTTACAGGTGTATTGATTTTGTCATAATGTGACTCACCAAAAGCATTTTGTGAATGCTTGCTGAGAAGCATGCCGTGAGGTAAAATCTGGGACTGCAAAGTATCGATTCAGTTATCTCAAACGATTGTTTATGGAAAAGGTGAGAAAAACTTTGAGGAACACTAGACTCACCTTAAACTGAGGTGCCTTCAGGTAGTTCAGAGCGCATGACTTGAAATCATTCTAAACAGACGCGTCATTGCTGAGAACACAACCTACCTTGACAAGACCATCCTGATTGAACTCAACCCTGGGGCGGGCACACAAAATATCCAACAAGTAGGCACAATCGGCGAAAATGTTCCCAATATACCAGTAGAACTGATAGTCTGCTCCGTCATACACGTCGAACGCCTCACGTAGCGGGATTGTGACGAAATTGTAGGCGACAGCCAACGAGACGATGGTCAACCAGAGGAGATAGACAACACCTGAATAATTAAAACGTTTTACTGGGAACAGGAACAATTTATGGTACCAAAATGCACGCATTTCATTGAGGTAAAATTAGGTTTTCTTTCCCCTGTCTAGGCCTGGGCGACGCGGCATTACCCCAGCCCTCATGTCTCCTTCGTGTGGCATGGCAGCTAGGCACCGAAAGGGTGATACAGCTGGACGATTTTTTAAAGTTTTATTGACGTAACATACTACTCATGGGGTTGCTAAAAATTCCTCGACATTCCGGGGCTTATCAAGTAGACGCATTCCCCGAGTTTCCAACAACCTCTTGTTCTACTTTAACACTGAATTGCATCCAAAACATTCTCATTAGCCAATTCACTGAAGATCCGATTTAATCCCATCTGAAATCCTCGTTTATGATATTCTCCAACGGAATGTGCTGCAAATCGGCCGTCTTATTTTTCAGAAGGTACGTCATTCTTGACGTCAAAGTTTACACTATCGATAGAATACACCGTATTCACAGTTTCGCTCTCACTAGAGCAACATTAAAATGCATCACCCCAATAAGATCGAGTGTGCTGGCCACTTAACTTGGAAATATTACGTAAACATCACCAAATGTTTTATGTCATTCGGCAAGTGCTTTTGGGTTCTTTCGGGAATCCCCTATTTTTGCAAAATAGATGTGGCAAAAATTTATAGTTCCCTAGCACATTTGCGCGGATATGAAGGTAAAACGTTAGAACTGAGCTACTTCACACCCGTTTGATAAATCTGCGTGGAGTTCAGAAATATTACGAATTCGACAGTTAGTTAACACAGTCAGCTGGTAGCCAACTATTAAACTTCAAACTCGATTTCATTCTTGTTTCTAACTGTGAATTCTTGAACAATCTACACGAGACAGTGTGCAGTTTTTATTCCGATCTGTCGTGACCCCACATTACATGAATTTCGTGTACGAATTGACGCCAACGAAGGCGTGACCCTCAAACTGAGGGTGGAGTTTCCTCATCTAGTGGCTATATGTCCATCTGACTGTAGCCAGGAAGTATTTTGAAGTCTTAGACGGCCCCTACAAGGAAAGCCTCTCAGTTGAAAACCTTCGATAATTTGTCAGATAATTTCCTTTCTCAGCAGATTACTTATCGTTTTATGGTAGTATAAGCGGGTGGGAAGGGCCATGAACCAGAACCCGGGCAATGCGTTTGCCATTATGCTACCTGGTGCGAACTTAGTTGGTCTGGCAACTACTGGTGTATTATTTATAGAAATTCAACAGCCATTTCTGTTTGCCCAAAACATTGTACGTCACAATATCACGTTACCATGGTTACGGCCAAGTCACTGATTTGTTAACCGTCTGAACACGGCCGCCGTTACGTGCATAATCCGTTCAGCTGTTATTGGTACATCAAGCTGAATTCTCGTGATAATGTAGCGGCTGATAAGATCATTCAAAATGTCTGAATGACACAGTGCACAATCTCTTTCTATCTTGTTTAAACTAATCAAAGTTGTCCAGTGTTTCAAAAAACCGTATGCTGCGGATTAGAGTTCTGACTGAATCGTTTTCCTACCTTGTTGTTTGAGTATCTTTAGAAAAACGGAAGGGCTTAAGTTGCACATTTTGCTATCCAAAACAGGCTGAATCAGTCCGTGAAACTCTGAGATGTACCGGGATTTATATGCTTCCATTTTTTATGGACAAAGACGAGTAAATGACAGAGACTTAACAACCCAACTCGCCTTTTCCTCAAAATAGATGTTGTAGAACTCCGAAGCACAGACACAGAAAGATCGTCCAATATCACTGGGTATTTCCGTTAGTTTGCAGGCCCCAGATTCATTTGTGCATGTGAGTTGCGATAGCAACCGGGCTACAATAGTGTGGCAACCAAGAAAGCAGTTTTGCCAACGCAGACAGCTGCCTGTGCGGAAGTGCTACATTCAAACAGTCTAGTCATCAAAAGTTGTCTNNNNCTACATTCAAGCAGTCTAGTCATCAAAAGTTGTCTAACTATCAACACGGACAAAGGCATCAAAGTGAGAAAGTTGGAGCATGGCTCAGGCCTTATGATCCTGTTTAGGCTTGTCTGTACAAGATTCCAACCATCGCAAGCCGTCCCTGTTTCATTCAGTGAGAACGACAGCAGAAAACCAGCCATGATTTTATCCACTATTCCTTCAAATCTTAGTCCAAATCTGATAAAGCTACAGAAAACAGTAGATTTGTTTATCTCTGTTCTTTAGTATCAGTACAATAGTTTCACAAATTCTGAAAAATCAATCACTTTCTCTCAAATCCGAATGACGCCAATCATGAATGTCATTCAGTTGAAAAATTCAACCAGTTATGTGTCTGATTTCAAAATGGTTCAACATTTCTGAACCAGTACTGACTGAAACTGTAGCTTGCTGCATGGTTCCCATACCATGTGACGAATTGAAGAGTTGGTCACTCATTACCGTAGTCAGAGCCACTGGAACCTCGGTGCACCCTTGCGTCCAAGGAACTCGGTGAACAAAGTGACATTTTGCGCCTATGCTGCAGGCATATCTGTTAAGATGGATTTTGATGGCACTTATATGGAATGAAGTAGGTGAGTATGCGAATAGAGTCAAGGATGATAGTATTATACNTCACTCATTACCGTAGTCAGAGCCACTGGAATCTCATTTACTCGGTGCACCCTTGCGTCCAAGGAGCCCGATGGATAAAGTGACACTGCGCCTATGCTGCAGGCATGTCCGTTAAGATGGATTTTGATGTCACTTATATGGGATCAAGTAGGTGAGTATGCGAATAGAGTCAAAAATGATTGTACTATACTCATAATGGTCGATACCAAATGTTTGAAAGGGTGCTGTACTCCCAAAAGCCTAAGAGGACCCGACGGTATTCAAAAGAGGAGAGCAGTTTTCTTGCACGAACCTGTTGAGCAGTGTGATAATACATGCTAAGATAGCCGCAGTTTCCGCCTCTCTCTTTGAAATTAGAGCATAATAAACGAAACGTAATAGCAATAAAATCATTGAAGATTTGATGAATGACCTACACACCAATCGTTGTCTTTGTTGTGGATGACAAAAGTGGGATAACCATAGCCGATTTTACACCCAACTTCGTCAACTTCGTGTTGTAGCTGAAGGTCAAACTACGCATGGCTATAGAAATATGCCTGTTCGCAAATCGTTTTAAGGTTCCATTCCATTTGAATCTCCTCTGTGATATTCTTCAGCTCAGTACGCTCCGGGAAGGCTGCCTCAAGTTTCATTTAATAAAATATTTTCGATGTCGCAGCATATTTTCTGTCCGGAGGCCAACCGTCCCTAACAGCCGAACATCACATCATTTGGACGGATTTGTCACGTGCAGAGTACGGACCAAAAGGAAGGATGATATGATTGGTCAGAATGCCAGCCAATCCGGATCGAGCACCTTTGACTCGACGCTTCTCGCCCCCTCACAGAGATTCTAGCATGACCTTGTGGAACACTCTGTGATTACCCTATAAATACTGTTGTAATAATTTTCCTTTGTCTCCATAAAGGGCTGTGTATTGCGACCGTGCCTTTTGATATGCCATAGTGGGCGGAGCAGGAAGCCAAGGGACCGATGCAGAGCTGCACTACCGTTCAGCAAGACACAACATTTTCCGAATGTAGTATACTATTCATTAGGTTAGTGGAAAACTTTCGGCAGTCCAATTCAGGCTCCGTCCTTCTTAGGGCCGTTTAGTAGTGTAGCTGTTTCTCTTATCAACTAAGAGATGAGTGTTCTTTTCGTTTGAATAATGGCTACCCAATTCAGACAAATCGATAACTACTGATAACTGATAAGAAAAGATTTCGCTTGATTCGCCACGGACTATTGCACAGAACCTGGTAGCTTCCAAGCCACGGGTTTGAAATTTTACCGGCCGTTTGAAAGGAATGTGGGATCGGACTTCTCGCACATGTACTTGGAGTTTCACTCAGACAACTTGGAGTGACGCAGAATGATTAGATCCTTTGATTTGCACGTTCACCGGTAGAATTTCAAACCAATAACTTGCTAATTATGAGGTTTTCCGCGGAGACTGATGACTAATCAGGCGGAAGTTTTTGGACGGTCACCAGTAGTCAAACAGTTGTCTGGATTGGCCGCCAGCTGATTGGACCAACAACCACACCGAAAATTAAACTCGACAGCTGTACAAACTAGTTGACAGACACGAATCGGAGAGTAGCATAATTAGAGTTTGTGTCCTGACGCCAATTGAGGACGAAGCGGGTTGAGATACTTGAAATTCGAGCACGCTTTCGCCTTACTTGGATCATGCTGAGGTAATGATACATCTTGAAAACGCATCGCTGGGTGGGAGAACGCATTCTGTAGGATTATCTCCGAAAACCTCGCCGAAGAGCTGCCCTGCTGTAGAACTGTACTTTATAACAAGTTAGTACTTACTGTCTTCAGGAGATCCCCTGCTTTGTGGATAATATGTTCTCGGAATTAGCCGTTTCAAGGGCATGTGCTACCGTTGAACCTAAAACTCGATTCAGAATACCAGAATACGAATAAATCTAACCCCGCGCCCCCTGATTCCTCAGCAATCTGTTTCATCCAACCTGTGGTCATTTAAATCAAACTGTCAACAAATCTGCTTGGGTGGTGTTCGTGATATAACTCTACTACTAATGTCAGGGTGTCCGAGTAGTATGTGGCCAGTTCCCACAGTGACGTCGAAACATCTGATTGAAGTTTGCCACGGAAATTGTGGCGGCGTTTTTTCATCAATGCTTAATATTCAGATGACGTCCGAAAAAGTTCAAGAGGACGCTTGAAAATGTCCACTTTTCAAAAACTGTGTACAAGTGAGGTTTTTGCATTCGTGTCTAATCACGTTGTTAGTCTACTTAGTTCGTATTGGTTCTTGAACGACTGCACAATGAAGCGCGTTCTTCTCTTCAGTTGGTAAAGTGATCAGGGTGATATATTAAACTCATTCAGACTCAGTCTTTCCAAGTGCTCCCGGAGAATCTGTCTCAGTAGCGGCCCTGCTGCTGTGTCGATCAAGCACGAACTCCTCTTCCAATCTATCTCAATTACAGCCTGTATCTTGGCTTGTATCACTGTACTAATCGCAACCCATACGGGAAAGAAGAGTAGAATAAAACCGCTATTAGTTACAGTTATGGAGACATTTGTTCTTCCATGGCCAGACATGCCACATTTGTAGCATATACTTGTTCCAAAGCGCTCCCACGCTTCAGTCAGTCCGCTTTGATCCGCAGGTCCTCGATCGGCTACACTTCCGGCTTCTTCTGTTTGTTTGGTGAGGTCTCGGACATTCCTCGTGCCAGGTGCACCAAATCGTTCACGCTGAACTGACCGGTTGCTCACGCCAAGCGCAAGTGAGCACCGAGCACCGCCTACATACCTTCGACGAGCTGGTCAGACAGCAACTGCTTCCAATCCCGGCAAGACACCATCCAGCAAATGCTGCAAACCGGCAAAGAACACCGCATGGTCCCACCCTGGCTGTGGACTGGTGGATACTACTGATGAGGCATGCGAGTAATATGTGGTTTTCTGGAACTCCGTCTTGATCTAATGGAAGGTGGGATTTATTATGGTCTTTATGGAATTGCTTTGTAGCATTCGTTTACAGTTGTGTGGTAGGCAACACATATCCAGGAAAGTTCAAGAAGCCCCATTCAAGAAGAAAACAGATATTCCGTTTTTTGGGAATAAGGTGGATATGATTTTTGCTTTTCTGTCCGTAAGTGTTCAGTTTCAGTTCTCTCTAATAAACAACTCCGCGGCGGAGGCTTCTTCATTTCGCTAGTACCACTAAATATACTACTAAATATAGCAACCTGTTCCAGTGGCATCACATTTCACCCATGTTGATGACAATTCCAACTCACTGTATGGAGAGAAGCAGGTCAAAAATAGGGCCTTGAAATCCGGCATCCAAGCGGGTATTGGGCATGCAAATTCTATGGGGTCGATGAACTCTTGTCCGATGACTTCAGCTAGATAGACGTGAGAAAGAGTTGGGACTGTTAGTTGACAAAAAACACGTGTGTGAGATGGAAAAGACATAGCTTACAACAGCCCAACTAATGAAGATAACACACTTCTGATAGGGTTATTGTGTTGTGCCGTCCGTCAAGACTTGAACACGTGATCCATGACTAGTGTTTCGTAAGGCATGTAGACTAAACGCCTTGTCAACTGAGCACTAGCCAAAAGCTATTCAAAAGCTAGCCAAAAGCCTGAGAACGTTGAGCGGAATTAAAAAAAGAACCATTCTGTGTTTCTGACCTGGCTAGCTGGCTAGTTTCGAGAGGTGAAAGATTGACTGATCTAAGTGTGTCGTCAAAGATGTGCCATCTTCACCGTAGAGTTTCGGTGGCTATAAACAACGTTGCCGGACTTCCACACACAAGATTAAGCAGTAGCTGAGTGCGGCATCGCTGTGCATGCTCAAAAGCATGACCTCGTGTAAAGTTTGGCCGCCGAAGTCTGCACCAATGTACCTTGTTCGCGTGATCTCTGAGTTACTGAGCTTGTTGAATGGGTACGACGAATTAATTTACAGTTGGCCAGTCTGACATACAGGTTGGCCATCAAATTCAACCCATTTGGCTGGCAAACCACGTATACTGTTCATAATTTTGGAGTTGGAAAGGACAGATTACATATTTTGAAAAATGGGCCGTTATGTAATGTTATATAGAAAGTGACGATGCCGGACGGCTTGTGATCGCACACTGAGCAATGAGACTACTTTGTCTGCATGATAGGCGAAGTCAGTATATTCCAGTCGGTTGCGCTGCAAACGTAAACGCATCAGCTTTCTTCCATATTTCGTTGGTTTACTGGCACGTCAGATGCTAGGAAATCGCTATTCCTTTAGACGATGTTCCCCTCAAACAATGAACACAAACTGAGGGGCACATTCAGACTCCTCAGGAAGAGGTTGACCATTGGAGAGACTGTGCTGAGTAGTTTGTCAAGTAGCTTGTACTAGATGAGTAAAACAGAAAGACCACTAGGGATCTGAGGGCAATTTATCGGTTGGAATACTTAGGGTTCATTGAATAAACAAGCGGCTGGTCTGTGTGTAATTAAATCTCCTAGCTCACTTGGTATCCTTCCGCAGAACATGAATGGATACAAATTTTAGGCAAAAGTGTTTTGTTGGTTTTTTTGTCAAATGGCTGCTAATTTGTTTGCCAAATTTGGCAATTGACTTGCAAACGTTTTGTTCCCATACGGGGAAACATCAGCGAACAGTTGGATGGGTACATCCTACTTGCTTGCGTGCAGTAACGTTCGATTTGAAGGCTATGTTATCTCTTAAAATGATTGGCTAGATGGGGGACATCGTTTTTCGTGAATTTATTTGTCCATTCGTGATCTTTGTTGCGTTGTGGTTCGCGTTCCCTCGAATCGATTTATCATCCCGATTCCTCCTATTTTTATTAGTTTCCTCTCCCGTTTTGATTGCTTTTTCTTCTCGATTTGCATTGCGTTGTGGTCTAGTATTTTCGGGAGTGATTGGCTGGCTTCTCTACAGTATACGCATGCCAGGCAATGATGACGAATGATGGGTCTCATTTCGTTACTTACATAGTGGCCTGAATTCAAGAGAGGGGTTGAAACAGGGCTCGAAACTTCTTTGATGTGCACCAACAACAGTCTAAAGTGACAAGTTTCGATATCGATTAGATATCGATTTGAGCCTCCGCTTGAACGTAGAATACAACCATCCTGTGCACACCAGTGCTTTAGTTGTCTAAATCCATTTGACATGTGGTCATCAAAATTGTTGATCCGCTACGCCCGATATTGCTGAAAAAAACTATCGCCACGTAAAACTGAGAGGATAACCGGAATCAATTCTTGCTATATGGAACCACACCACAAATTAAAAGTCAATTTGGACTGAGGTAGCTACACGAGGTTTCGAAAAAATGACCTTATTTAGTAATCGATAACAGTTGTGAAAACCAGCGTGGCAGCTAAAAGGCCTCGTGCGTTTTTTAGTAATACAAAGGTCCATTCATAATGTGACAATATTGAATAACATTGACGCACGTGTATCCAATTCCGTCTGCTCGTCCGCTGGCTTCCCGGTGGCTGATTCATCGATCGGTCGATCGATCCTAATGAGAGGCTTATCCCGAAAAACTATGAAATGTTTTCGGTGTGGAGCCAAGCATGCTGTGCAAAACGGTTGACGTATCACCAACTTTCGTCCAGGACGCGCGCTCCACCAGTGTTTGGTCTCACCCTTTTTCATCTGATCACCGAGATTCTCATTCAACACCAGGTCTTGTTCCGTTTTCGAAAGGTCGGTCGTCACTGTTTTAATAGTACAAAAGGGAACATCCACTTAGCTGCCTAATCAAACATCTCCATTCTTTGATTTGATCTTGATAAATAGCGTTAGAATGACGCGCAGTTCAACAAGGAATAAAATCAATAACATTTATGATGATACTTGAGTAGGACAGGTGTCATACTCGAAATGCCTCATGTTATTGCCAGAAAACTTGCCGAAGGTAAACGTATACTTAGTTATGGGTGAAAAAAGTCGGATCCCGAACACCTCTGTGATTACCTCCGGATCGTACAATCCAGATACGATAAACATGACAGCTAATCTGTGCTTGAGTTTCAGTCCCAGCCAGACTATTAGATCCGTTTCAAGAACAGATTGCCACGTTCTTCCACCAGCTTCTGTGTACACTCAGTTGTAAGTCTAACATCAATCACTGATCGCACGACAAGGCGTTTGCCGGCAAGAACAGAACCCTGTGTCTCCGAGTGGAAGGAATCTGGCAATTGCGTCACATCTGGCCGGAAACATTCATATCATCCACGAAGGGTGCGTCTTCAAAGCACCGCTGAGCCACTGAGGGCTGGTACGACTCATGCTACTATTTACTGCAGAGGTGAATGAAATTCAACTAAATAGCCTACAAGTTTGGGTTCAAAAGAAACCTGTGTAACCTTTAAATTTGAACTGCCAGGCGACAAAAATTGTGCGACATGTAGTTCTGCAATCTTTCATCGCCTTTACCTTCTAAACGGGCGACCTCTATTTCGTAGACTCATTCTAGCCCCCGTGATGTTTTCTTCTTTTTTCGGGAGGCAACTGGGCCGAAACAATGGGAACTCAGACTGCTCGAAAGTTGCGCTTCTCATGGACAGTGATTCTAATCAGAGAACTGACAAATCGGTCGCGACTCCCTGGAGATACTTGAAGGTCATTTTCAAGGGACCGTCAACTGATGCGAATGAAGACATGGTTGATTCTTCTACACAAAGATGGTGCTGACAGATTTGATAAACAAGGCTAGGATAGATCGCGGAACTACCAGGGGATTCCTGCAAGATGGTGAGGTATGGTAGCTGAATTGCTGAGCCACGGTTTGTGGAGGCGATTTCTTTGCCTCCATGGCATTTGTACCTAACTGTAATAACTGCTTAGAAATTCCGAAAATAGTGTTATCACTCAGCATCGTTGGGATGGCTACCGGTCAGACTCAGAACGCTCCACAAATCAACGAATGCTATGTGATTCAAAGGTGTTAGTGTCTCGCTGGCACCTTCCAACGCAAAAATTCAACAATTAACGGCACTACCAATGTCTGTTGGATTCTTTTTCAACTTAAAACAAATACTCTGTGACACTAGTTTGTTACGCCATCTTGTTCCTGAGGGCGCCAAAATTTGCCAAAAATGGAAGAATGTGGTTGTGAGATAGTGTATTGTTTCGGTTTCCGCTGACTACCGACCAAATAATCGACAGGATGGAACATCAAAGCATGGTATCCCGTTTGGTTGACTTCAAAGACACATCACGTAGCACCCCCAAACGTTTATTCTATGAGCAGTTGAAAAATGTTATGTAAAACCGAGCATGGACAAAGCTGTAGCATAGGGACACAATTCGATTGAGTTGGAGAAACGTTAATTTTGACCTTACAGAGTAAGAAATATGTTACTTTTTCAAATTCGGCTGGTTTCGATTATCGGACGTAAGCGAGATGCGTTACATCGACACAAACGCAGGTGAACTCTTGAGGCTGCTCAGTTGGTGGCGCATCGGACTTACGGGACACCAGCACTCCCGTGGAGTATTCTTCGCAAAGCATCAAACAGTACGTTGTGGCAAGTATTCTCCAGTTTGTAACGAAAGATCCCCTTTCCATACTGTCGCCAGTTTGACCACAACAGCCTAAAATGTTAATATTGGGCTACCTTTACTGTTGCGACTATCTTTCTTGGGCAGGGGTACCGTGGAATTCGATGAAATTGTCCTTGCCCAAAGGGGTGCTGGAGACTTCCGTGGGCCACTGCTGGATCTAGCTTGACCTTATGATAATCCCTCTAGCCATTTGCTTACTCCGTCTGTGTACTTTTGATTTTCACCTATCCGTACCCGCCACTCGCCTTCCATCAGAGGCTGTCATGCCCTACAGTTGTGTGCGTCTATGCGATGTGCGCGGCTGACCTACTTATCCCGTTTGCTGAACCTGCCTTGACTCGTTTTCTCATGAGGTCCGTGTTACCGCACAGCCAATGAGAATCACGAGACTGTCGTCGGAAAGGACAACCGCAGCCCACACTACTGCTGAGCCAACATTCCGCTCGCCGTTGTTTGGTGTGCGGACACTGACATCGCACTGTACGGGTCAGCGACAGGCCTGTGCACTTGTTGACGCTACGAACGTGAACAATTGCGGTTTGTTGTAACGTTTGCTCACCCTCATCTAAACAGTAACGTAGAATTACGAACTCAATGCTTCCTTTTGGTATTCGGGATTGCCGAACCTACGCGACACTCAAAGTTCCGTACCTCAACATCAAAAGAGGTCCAAAAATCTTCTGCCCATCTCACAATGCATTGATGAAGTCACTTCGGTCAGTGATGAGCTGCTTGCAACCAAATAACGGCCGGTTTTCTATCGTTTCTGTGGAGCGCTTTCAAGAGAGCGGGAACTGCAGAGTCAGGCAGAATCTTGCCCTATTGTAACTGAGCTTGAGACTGAAATTAACTGAAGCTTGTTATAAGATGCCCACTCGTTCAGTTGTAGCACCCTCTGGTGCCTTAGCTGCAATACCACCCGAAGGTTGCATGAGGGCTGGGATACTGGCAGGTTGCCCAAGCTTAGACAGGCAGAGGTCGGGTTCGAACCACGGACCTTTCGGTCAGTAAATTCGTGCTCTAACCACTAAGGCCATCTCGGTAACTGCACACTCTCAGAGGATTTCTCATTAAGAGGAACCATTGCATGATGGCCGATATTCTGCGGAAAGTTAGCAACCACAAATGGGAGATATGTCCCAATTCACCTCAAAGGCTCATGCTTGATACCTGCTGCTGACGTAATCAAGAACACAGATATATAAAAAATGCTTCTTGAATAACAGTCAAACGTCCACTAGTTGCGTGATCTCTGGAACATTGATTTTCATCCCGTATACTGAAAGCCTACTACACTTTGTATACTGAGTTTCCAAAATTGTTCATTACGATTGCTTGAAAGTTCAAGTTGTACATTCCACTGGGAATTCGCATTCTAATAACTTAGGCATTCTCATGACACATACGATTACACTACGCGTGTCAAAAACCCGTTCACGATCCACCTCAAATCTCCTAGCAATCGCTGATACCTTGATATGGCCGTGGTATTTGAGTGTTGAAATGATTTAGCGGAACCAATTGGCTGGAACTTCGTATCTACAGTGTCAGCAATGTCACAAAAACCAGAACGGCACAACCAGAACTGGACCAGAAGGATCCAGTATCACGAACGAAACAAAAACTAGGCTGTCTGGAGGTACAGTCGTGCTGCCATCTGTAGTGAAATTGTAAAGACAATGAGACATTGGTAATTGATCAGGTGGCTGTTGATCTGTTCGCCGAGCTTGGCAATTGGTTTGCAAACGTTTCGTGGAGACATCTTCAGTGCGCTGTTGGTTGGGTAGTTCCTCTCTTCGTGCCTTCGTTTATATAGTCTACAAAGAGCGGCGTTCGCACTGTAACCTGGATTCTGATTGGCCCGTTCTTGATCTGTATTGCGTCGTGGTCGGCTTCTCTGTTGGTTTGTGGCGTGCATCCTATTTTTAGTAGCCTGCTGTTCTATTGATTTCTTCTTTAAGTCCTTGTTCGGCCTCGGGTTCTGTGGTTCTGGGTTTCCTTTGTCCTCAGAGGCCAACAGCGCACTGAAGATGTCTCCTCGAATGGTGACGAGAGTGTGCAGTTACCGAGATGGCCTTAGTGGTTAGAGCACGAATTTACTGACCGAAAGGTTCGTGGTTCGAACCCGACCTCTGCCTGTCTAAGCTTGGGCAACCTGCCAGTATCCCAGCCCTCATGCAACCTTCGGGTGGTATTGCAGCTAGGCACCAGAAGGGTGCTACAACTG